TATCGTTGGCTTTATAACATATATAGTTGTAATATATATAAAAATAATGGTATAAAAGGAGGGAAGAAGGAATAGAGCTATATGGGAGTAATATTTCTATATGTCACTATAATTAAATTAGTATAAATCTGAAGTACATTCCAATAAATTAAGCTGTACATAATGAGCCATAGAACCCCTAAAATAATAATTCAGAAAAGATAGTGAAACAAATCATTAAAGGAATTACAATGTTACGCTAGAAAATATTCACTTAATGCAACACAGAGCAGTAAAGGAGGACTAGGGAGCAAAAAAGACCATGAGACATACAGAAAACAAAAAGTAAAAGGGCAGATATAAGTCCAACTATACTGTGCTATGGTTTGGATATCTGATACCGCCCAAACCTTATGTTGAAATTTGATCCCCCATATTGGAAGGGGTGCCTAATGGGAGGTGTTTGGGTATTGGAGGTGGATCCCTCATGAATGGTGCCATCCTCATGGTAATGAGTAAGTTTTCACTCTATTAGTTCCCATGAAAGCTGGTTGTTTAAAAGAGCCTGTTACCTCCCTCCCCTCTTTGTTTTCTCTTGCAATGTGATCTCTACACAGGTCAGCTCCCCTTTGCCTTTAACCATGAGTAGAAGCAGTCTGAAGCCCTCACCACAGGCAGATGCTGGTGTCATGCTTCTTGTACAGCCTGCAGAACTGAGAGCCAAATGAACCTCTTTTCTTTAGAAATAGCCCAGTCTCAGATATTTCTTTATAGCAACACAGACTAAGGCATATATCAGTAAAAATATTAAATGTGAGTGAATTACACAACCCAAAGACAGAAATTGCCGGACTGAACAAAAAAAAGATTCAACTGTATACTGTCTATGGTGGACACTCCATACATTCAAAAATACAAATAAGTTGAAAGTAAAATGATGGAAAAAATATATCGTACAAATTGCACCCATAAGAAGCTGGAATGGTTATACTAATATCAGACAAAGTAAACTTCAAAACAAAAAAGTCACTAGAGATAAAGGTGATCATTTTATAATGAAAAAGGATCAATCTATCAGGACAATATAACAATTATAAGCATATATGCACCTAAAAATAGAGCCCTAAATATGTGAAGCAAAACTAATAGAATTGAAGGGAGAAATTCATAATTCAACAATAATAGTTAGCAACATCACCTCCCACTTTTAATAATGGCTGTAACAGACAGAAGATCAACAAGGAAATAGAAGACTAGAACAACACTATTAACTAACTAGACTTACTAGATACCAATAGAATATTTCATCCAACAACAGCACAATGTGTATTGCACATGGAACATTCTCTAGGATAGACCATATCTTAGGCCATAAAAGAAGCCTCAATAAATTTAAAAGGATTAAAATCATATAAAGTATGTTCTCCTACTACAAAAAAGTATGTTCCTATGAATGTATTTCTATATGTTAGAGAACATAGAACACAGAAATGTAATATATTTGCCAATAACAGCACAAAGGAGGGGAGTGGGAGCGACATTGCTCTCACCACTACTATTCAACACTGTATTGGAGGCCGGGCGCAGTGGCTCACGCCTGTAATCCTAGCACTCTGGGGGGGCCGAGATGGGTGGATCGTTTGAGCTCAGGAGTTCGAGACCAGCCTGAGCAAGAGCGAGACCCCATCTCTACTAAAAAAATAGAAAGAAATTAATTGGACAACTAAAAATATATAGAAAAAATTAGCCAGGCATGGTGGCGCATGTCTGTAGTCCCAGCTACTCGGGAGGCTGAGGCAGAAGGATTGCTTGAGCCCAGGAGTTTGAGGTTGCTGTGAGCTAGGCTGATGCCACGGCACTCTAGCCCGGGCAAAGGAGTGAGACTCTGTCTCAAAAACAAACAAACAAACAAACAAAAAAACCACCGTATTGGAGATTCTAGCAAGGGAAATTAGGCAAGGAAATAAATAAAAAGCATCTGGATAGGATAGGAAGAAGTAAAATTATCTATATTTGTAGCTGACATGATTTTATGAATAGAGAATCCTAAGGAATACACTTAAAAGTGGTAGGGCTAATAAATCAGTCAGCGAACTGGCAAGATACCAAATCAATATACAAAACCAGCTGTATTTCTATACAGTACTAATGAACATTCTGAAAATGAAATTAAGAAAACAATTTCATTTAAAGTAGCATAAAAACACCTTAGGATAAATTTACCAAAGCAGGTGAAAGACTTATACACTGAAAACCATAAAACATTGAAGAAAGAAATTAAAGAAGACCTAAATAAGTGGCAAGACATCCCACCTTCATGGATAGGAGGACTGAACATTGTTAAGATTGCAATGCTCTCCAAAACTGTATTTACATATAGATTCCATGCAAATACTATCAAGATTCCAGCTGGCTTTTTTTTTTTTTATGGAAAGGCTGATCCTAAAATTCATATGGAAATGCAAAAGACTGACAATAGTCAAAACAATCTTGAAAAAGAACAAAGTTGTATTCATACTTTTCAATTTTAAAGTTACAGACATCAAGACAGTGTGGTACTAGCATAAGTCTAAAAATGTGGATCAATGAAATAGAACTAAGAATCCAAAAAAAAAACCCTTACATTTAGAGTGAATTGATTTTAACAAGGTGCCAAGACAATTCGATGGAAAATCATCTTCTTAACAAATGCTGTTGGGAGGCTGGGCGTGGTGGCTCACGCCTGTAATCCTAGCACTCTGGGAGGCCAAAGCAGGAGATTTGTTTGAGCTCAGGAGTTCGAGACCAGCCTTAGCAAGAGCAAGACCCCATCTCTACTAAAAAAATAGAAAGAAATTAGCGGGACAACTAAAAAAAATATATGTAGAGAGAGAGAAAAATTTAGCTGGGCATGGTGGCACATGCCTGTAGTCCCAGCTACTTGGGAGGCTAAGGCAAGAGGATCGCTTGAGTCCAGGAGTTTGAGGCTGCAGTGAGCTACATGACGCCACTGCGCTCTACCCAGGGAGACTCAAGGAAAAAAACACAAAACGACTTTCAATGGCTGCCTGTGTCCTCGCGATCGAGCGCACAAGTTCTTTGCTCTCCGCGTACTTTTGATAAATAATGGGCACCAATCATGTACCAGGCACCACCCTAGGGAAAGAAAATAACGCGTCGGGCAAGGTCCAGGTCGGTGTCCCAGGTGGTGGGCACTGCCCCCTGCCGCCCTGAACCGCTCATCCTGTCCTCTTTCCGTTCAGCCCCCAGGGTAGCGCTGCTCTACCCTGGCCTGACATTCCCTCCCGCCCGAGAGCTCCCAAGCCAGCCTCGGAGGGGCTGTTCCCACAAGCTGAGTCCCGCCACCCAGGACGGCTTCATTCTCTCGTCCGGTCCACCGCAGAGAGACAGAAGCCATTGGAAGGTCGGCCCTGGTGCCTCCGGCCGGGGCCAATCGTACTGCCCGCCTAGTCACGCTCCTCACACACCACCCATTCCACTTTCGGCCCCGCCCACGGCCTCACGGCTGCTACGAAGCCGTGCGAGGGCCCCAGAAGGGCTGCCCGCCAGAACGCCTGAAGGACCCCGCCAGGGCCGCGCAGCTAAACAGCGCCGTGTGTGGTGGCTGGAACCCGTGGCGGGACAGGTGAATCCCGACCCAGACTCCCACTGAACCGGGGCTCCGGACAGCCCAGAATCTGGGGTGGTGTTAGGGCCCGGGTACGAGAGGTGGTAGTCGCGCGGCTGCAAGCCTAGAGAAGTAGAGGCGGGGGCGCCAGGTCAAGACCAGCAGCCGCGAACCTGGGGGCTGGACGGCGTGGCCACGCTGTGGGGGCGGGGCGGAGTTGAGGGCGCCGCGGGTCCTGGCCGCGCGTGTGAGGTCGAGGGGCTTGGCCGCCGGCCTCGGGAAGCGGAGTGATGGCCCTCTCAGGTGTCGGGGGCAAATGGCCCGGCAGCTTTTAAAATTTGAAGTTAATTCTCTGACGGAGTCACCTTTAAGTTGAGCAAGTTTCTCTACTTGTCGACTTTTGTTAAAAATGAAGACCCGAGAGAGCCTCAACTTATCTACATTAGGAAAGGAATCACGTCCTCACTACAGGCGGTGCGTGTCCTCCCCTAGAGGGCCCCTAGCAGCCTGGCCTTGGAATAGTTGAATCAGGTTCATTCACTGATGCATTCGACAAATACTGTGGCGAGCCAGCTGTGTGCTAGGCACTGCTTTCCCGAAGCTGACCTTTTAGTGGGGAACATGTAACTGAAGGAAACTTGCAAGGAGCTGTGAGAAAGTATAACAGGGGAGGTGAGCTAAGATCCAGTGGTGAGTATGAGGTAACCCGAAAAGCACATTCAGAACTAGTCGCACAAAGGCTGTCAGGCCAGAAAGTCTTTTGAAATTGAAAGGCCCATGAGGCTGGAGCAAGAGAAACTTCAGGATTTTGGGGTTCCAGATGAGGCCAGAGAGGTGCGCAGGGACCCTGAGATCATGCAAAGCCTGGTAGGCCATGATAAGAATTTTGGTTTTTATTATAAGAGCAAAGTATTCCTTAAAGGCTAAGGAGGGGAATAGTATGATTAGATTTGCATTTTTAGTTCACACTGGCTGTGTGTGGAGAACAGATTGTAGAGGTGGCAGGAATAGAAACCGGGAGACCAGTGAGGAGGCTGTACAGATGTCCAGGGAGGAATGACGGTGTCTTGGACTGGGATGGTAGCAGTTGTGAGGGAGAGTTTTGTGTGGATTTTGAGGTATATTGGGTAGATAAAATTGCCAGAAGTTGGTGATAGTGTGGATATGGAGGGTGAGGGAGGGGAGGTGTCGTGGATGTCTTCACAGATAACTGGCAAAGATGCCAGGATACTCACCCCTTGGCATTAGGGAGAGAGTAGGTTGACTGATCTTGTACTGGTTGGCCTTGGTTTTATGGTTTGAGTGAAACAACAACTTGACAGCTATAGACAGGGCATGAATAGAAGAGACTGTGGCTTTTCTTTGTTTGGGCCAGACCCTGACACCACCGTTAATGTGATTGTTTAAGACTGCCTTCAAGCTAAGAAAAATGAGGATGTTGTTCAGATTCTGTTCCTCCATGTGTTCATGGAAGCCTTGTCTGTATTTGTTGGCAAATCAGAGATAATATTTTGAGACCTAGTCTTTATTCCTGCAGAAGTGATCTATTTTTCACATGTAAATAGAATTTCATAACTGGAAGAGACTTAAAATCTTAGTCCAGTTTATAAAATACTTTTATATTCATCGTATCATTTCCACAATTATTTATTGGGCTCTCACACCATGCTAGACACTAGGAATACAAAAATGAATAGAAATAAGGCTGCATAGGTTTATTTAGTCAATAAAACTGATCAAGCACCTTTGTACCAGGCACTATTTCAGCAGCTTTAGATACAAAATGATTATGACCAGTCCTTGACCTTGGAGTTGCATGTCTACAAGCCTTGCCACTGAGGACAGCTGAGTGTCTTAACAGGTTTGATTTGGGCAGGGGAGATCCTGACTTATCCATAATATTAGATAAGAGGTGGTGTATATCCAATGGACTTCTTGATATCCTAACAACACCCCAATTCTTGTCCATCTATCTTCCAATTCTAGAATTGATAGGAGAGCACTACAGGTTAGAGCATCTTAAGAGGGGAATCAGTCATTATACCCTCATGGCCAGGCTGTTTAGGAGTGTAAATTGTAAATCCTCTGTAAAATACAAAAGGAAGTTAGGAAGGGAAGAGAGTATTGGCAGAGGCAGGTAGTATTTAAACTTGAATTTCTCTTGAATGGAAAACTCCCTTGTAGGCTTACAGTTGCACAAAGCAGATTGTGTAATCCAATAGGGCAACTTGAATGCCCCCCCTACCACTCCCTTCCCTCAATCCCATGAGCCCAAATGGGCAATTAAATAAAACGTATACAGCCTTATGATGAAACTGTCAGGTGCTTTATGAGTGTCAGGAGTGAGGGCACTGGTTGGCTTGCAAGGCTGTGTAGCTCCAAAGTAGGGAAGGGTCGGAGTATAACACTCATGGGTGCATAATTCAGCTCTCTGATAGCAGAAGTGAGATGACCTCAATCCTGCGAAGCCCTCAGGCTCTCCAGCTCACTCTAGCCCTGATCAAGCCTGATGCAGTCGCTCACCCACTGATTCTGGAGGTAAGAACAAACCCTAAGCCTCTACTGTATGCCCTGGGCATTGCTGTTTCAGGTGCTGTAGGGACACTTGTGGCAACTGACAACACAGTCCTGTGCTAGATGCTTTGGGGGCAAACCATGAACTCTGACCCTAAGGAAATTAAAAATCTATGGAAGACTTGGGGTAGATCTACAATATAAGAAAGGACCCAATACAATAATAAAAAGAACCAAACCTCAGAACAATGTATATATATATTAGTTTCTATTGCTACATAACAAATTACCACATACTTGAGAGGTTAAAATAACAGTCATTTGTTATTTTACAATTCTATAGTCTAGAGGTCCAGTAGGTTTGGCTGGGTTATCTTGTTAGGGTCTCACAGGGCCAAAGTCAAGGTATCAGTTGACTGGGCCCTTGTCTGGAGGGTCTGGGGAAGAATCCACTTCCAGGCTCATTCAGGTTTTTGGCAGAGTTCAGTTCTTGTGATTATAGGACCAAGGTCCCCATTTCCTTGCTGGCCTTCAGGCAGGAACTGCTCTCAGTTTCTAGAAACCACTCAAATTCTTCACATGGCCCACTCCATCTTCAAGACAGCAACAGTGCAATCAGATCCTTCTCATGCTTTGAATCTGACTTCTCTTTCAGCCTCTAGCCAGAGAAAACTGTTCTAAAGGGCTCATGTGGTTAATTAGGCTCACCTGGATAATCTCCCTTTTGATTATAGCAAAGTCAACTGATTAGTAACCTTAATTACTTCTGCAAAATCCCTTTTGTTATGTAATGTAACATAATCATGTTGTATCATATTCACAGTCCTGGGGATTAGGGTGAGAAATCTTAGTGGAAGTGGGGGTCATTTTAGGATTCTGCCTACCATAGTTTGAGAAGTACTGGGCAACACTACTAATTCTGTCCACTGTGGTACAGAGGAAGATCAGAGCAGTCAGGAATAGACTGGAAGTGGTGGGACTTGGCCAAGCCTCAAAGGAAGGGTGGACTTTGGTTTGTGGCAGGAGGACAGGTGCTCCAAGAAGGGAGACATGAGGCAGGAACACGTGTGCTGGGTCTAAGTGCCACCAGCAGCTGGGTTGTTGAGACTAGAGAATTGGAAGTGGTAGAGGGCATGGAAAGTGCAGCCTTGAGCACTGAGCTAAAGTGGTTGAACTTCATTCCTTGAATAATAGGAACTACCCAAAACCTTCTGACCAGAGTGCTATATGTAAATTATAGGGTTTATAATCTATCAAGTGTGATGGTTTGGAGAGAGTGAGAGAAACTCAAGGCAGGACCACTCACAAAAGACTTTTATGGTGGTCTGGATGGTGGGTCCTATGAGCTCAAGGGGCTGCAGGTGTGGAAGGGCAGAGCCAGCACTTCTGTCCCCTTCCACCTGAGCTGACACTCTGGCTGTGTGATTGAAGGTCTTGACCTCATCCCACCTTTTTCTTCTGACCCACCAACGGGACAGACCCTCAAGTCCTACACTCCAAGGGGTCCTCATGGTTTCTTTTGGCCAGCCTCAGTTTACTGGTTGATTTTTATTCTTGGGGTGGTTTTTATCCAGGCTGTTCATCAGCAGATTCTGAGCAACAAGTTCCTTATTGTACGAATGAGAGAACTGCTGTGGAGAAAAGAAGATTGCCAGAGGTTTTACCAAGAGCATGAAGGTAGGACCAGTCGTCCTCCGAACGGAAGGCTTCTCAATCCCTGGAGGCCTGTAAGAGAATTTTAGCTGGAACATATAGTGGCAGGCTCTGTCTCACCTACCAACTGTGTAAAATTATAGCCAGGTCTTCTAAAATCTTGGTTTATACACACACTTTTTGTGATTATTAATCTTTTCTTCCTACAAAGGTTCTACCTCATTCATAGTCCAAACAGAAACTTAATTTTATGTCCTGCTAATAATACCAGTAGTTAACAGTTAATGAATGTTTACTCTGTCAAACATCACCCAAATGCCCATTATTTCATTTAATTCTCCCAACAACTAAAAAGTACTACTAAAAAGTAGTATTGTTATAAACTCCCCCTACATGGATTAGGAAACCGAGTTAGGGAGGTTAGTGATTTACCCAAACCAAATAGGTTGTAAGTGACAGAGCTGGGATTCAGACCCAGGTTTGTCAGACTGCAAGATCCTTGTTCTTTTCCCTATAACAGTTTTTATTATTCTAGGTAAGGAGGTAGAAGAACAAAATGTTCTCTTGGGCACCAAGATGAAGGTATCTTGATGAAGCTCCTCTCTCTTTGCAGGGCGTTTTTTCTATCAGCGGCTGGTAGAGTTCATGGCCAGGTACTTCTAATTTTTGTTCCAGCATCTTTATTCACTGAGGCGTATCTCCCCTGCCCCCTAAATTGATTTGTTTATTTCATTTGCTACTCTTAAAAGTTGTAATCAATGTCAAGTCTGAAGAAACATGGGCTGGAGGCTCTAACTGAGTCAACACTGATCTGTTGGGTGCCTGTCCCATGGCTGTAGGAAAGTAGTGATGAGTTGTGTGTAGCAACTCTGCTGATCTTTGTGGCCTTTCTTGTACATCAGCAGCAGCCCTCCATCATCTTCTATTTGAAGCAGCCTTGGTACTTAGCTAGCAAGGCAGGGAAACTCTCAGGATGCACAGTGTGCCTTTATCCATTCCCTCCTAGACTGGATGGCCAGATTTCTTCATGTGCTCCTTGTGTTCACAGTGGGCCAATCCGAGCCTACATCCTCGCCCACAAGGATGCCATCCAGCTCTGGAGGACACTGATGGGACCTACCAGAGTGTTTCGAGCACGCCACATGGCCCCAGATTCAATTCGTGGGAGTTTTGGCCTCACTGACACCCGCAACACCACCCATGGCTCAGGTAAGTCTGTTTCCCTTGTCCACAGCCACAAATAAGGGAGAACGTTTTGGCGTTAGCGGGCAGGCTGTATGGTGAGGTTGATAGCCAATCCCTCCAGTGTGCTTTCTGCCCATTGTGTTTCTGGCCCTTTGTAGTCATCTTGGAAGATGTGGCCCACAGACTTTCTCTACACGCCCTGGGATGGAGAGGGCAGGCAGGATAGAGGCTCAGGTTTCTGAACCTGATTATAACTGCCTCTTGCCTCCACCCAGAACTCCCTATGAGAACCCCATCTCTGTCTCATCTTCCCTCACAGACTCTGTGGTTTCAGCCAGCAGAGAGATTGCAGCTTTCTTTCCTGACTTCAGTGAACAGCGCTGGTATGAGGAGGAGGAGCCCCAGCTGCGCTGTGGCCCTGTGTGCTACAGTCCAGAGGGAGGCATCCATCATGCAGCTGGGTCAGGAGACCCCGGACCAGCCTGATGCAGGCCTGTCAGTCTGTGAAGACCAGTGGCAATGCCCAGACTTTTCTCCTAGACCTCTGGTCCAAAGCATTCTCCTAGGACCAGGGAAGCCTCGGGTGCCATCTCTGCTGGGTACCACCACCTGCCTGAGGGCCTAGCTCTTCACTGCACACCCTCCAGAATCTAGCTCTCTATCTACCTCTTCTCTGGAATGTTGATGGTGATTCAGAAGAGTGATGACTCCTCTTTTTGGTGAGAACCATTCATCCTTCTTCAAGGAGAAGCTTGCCTAATTGACTTGCCTGAAAAATGCATTGACTCTATATAAGCAACATTTGGCCTTTCTTTCTCAATAAAAATCTATGTTCTACTGAATCCTCCATGTGGCCACATTTAGAGGGTGCCTTTCAGGCTTCATCATCCTGACTTCTCAACAGTATTCAATATTGCTTCATTCTCCAGAAATACTCTCTTCTCTTGACTTTCCTGATCCTTACACCCTTAGTCTGCCTATTTCTTCATCTCCTTTGTTGGCTTATGCAAACATTTATTTTCATAAATTCTAAATTCAAGACATTCTGAATATAAAGATGGTTAAGACATTTGTTCCTCAAGTTGTTAATTATGAGGTTGGGTAGTCAGCCAGCCGTAATACATGGCAGAGATGGAGAGGTGCCTAACAGAGGTATAAAGTGCTGTGGGAGAACAGAGGGAAGAAGGTTTTACTCTAGCTGGGTGAGGAGGTGAGAGTGGGAAGGCTTTTACAAAAGATGTCGCTAACAGTGGAACTAAGCCTCAAGGTCAAATAGGGTACCGATAGGAGGGATCCGAAGGGCTAGACAGCCTGTTTATTTTCAGATCTGTATGGGTCAGTTTGGTCTGTGTGTGATCCAAGAAGCCTGTGACATTCTTATGACAGGTGTTGACGTTTCTTTCTCAGTACTTGTATGTTCCTCTTTTTTTGGTGGCCCGGAAGCCTTGGAGTTGAGAATTTCCTTCACCATCTACCACTCTCTGTAATGGTAGACCAGGAAATTTAGACCCACTGAACACAGAACTAGAAAAGCTATACAGTATATAAACAGCACCCATTTGAAAGCATCAAGTAGCAGTGAAGAGTTATAGGACCAAAATCCAGGACAAGAAGGAAACCCAGAGAAATGAGCCTGGGATTTGGAACCATTTTTCTCATAAGGGCACCTGCTGATTCTGGAAGAGGCAGCTGTGAGTCTGCGAAGCTAAGCAGAACTTTCAACAACCTCATTATGTTAGGGAGATGGTTTCCTGGATGCTGACAGAAGACCTGAGATTCCTGAGGCAGAGACCATTGCTCAGGGCACAGCAAACAGCTTGTTTGCCTTGATCTCCCTTGTCCTCCAAGTCCCCTGGGGACAATACAGGCAGGCCAGTTTTGGGGATAAGATTCACTAGGATCTGTTAAAAAATGTTCTCACTCAGCAGGGCCCAATGTCCTACCTGTTTACAGGCTGAGTGGTGAAAGGTGGGATTGAAACAAACCCCTGGATGTGGCCTTAGTTTTTGCTCACTCTAGGAGGAAAGAATGTTATAACAATGGGGCAGGCACCCTGCATCCTAGCCAAAAGGTACTCCTGAGCCAAGGAGTCCCCAGAGCTGAAATAAATGTCAGCAGTGAAGATATAGCTTTCTGTGGAGTGAAAACACTGTAAGTTCCTTTGGCTGAGCTGTGTAGGTAGCCACTCAAAAGCAAGAAATAAATGCAAGGTCTTACTGGCACAGAGCAGCTTTCTCCACACCCTCTGGTGCTCCCTTCCTCTCTTCCCCAACCTCAGCAGGTGTGAGGAGGGACCAAGTTTCCAAGTCCCCAAGGGAGACCAAAGGCCACAAGTACCTAAGTACACTGGAGAATTTTCAGGGAGGGAAGGGGCTGAAACTTTTATAGCCCTGCTGAATACAGGTGCCCAAGTCACCATCTTCTCTGGTCCTGTGGGGGAGGGAGCACTGGATGCAGGTGTTGCAGAAGGCACTAGGACTGCAAGGCAGAGCCATGGTGGCGTGCGTGGGAGTCATAAAGAAAGCACCCAAGTGCTCACTGGACACCAGGAGGCACACAAGGAGACAGGCAGCACCAACTCTGGAGCAAAAAAACAAAGAGAAAAGCCTCCCTAACACCCCTCATGAGATTCTGCCCTCTCCCATCTCCTGGTGGATGTGGCTTTGGCCCCTGATGTGCACATGTGAAACTCCTTGGTCTGTGTTCTTACAGGAAAATAAGTGCCCAAATTAAACTGACGGGTTTGCAGTGGGGAAGGAGAGCTGGTGAGTGGGGCTTTTGAGCCAGTCCAGCATCCTGCTGTGGCTCCCGCTGCTGACTGTGTAACTGACACGGATGTTTTAAACACCTGCACGGAGAATGCTCACGTGTGTTCTAGGGGATTCTCCCCTTTGGGGACTGTCAGAGAAGTGACCTCAGTCCCCTTCTGGCTGGCTCAACAGAAACAATATAGACTCCCAAGAGGAGGGGAAATCACAGCTTTGATGACTGTTGGAGAACTCAGAGTGGACAAGGATGGTGAGGCAGAAAGGAAAGAGCCCTGGATTAAGAGCTGGGCTTCAAGGACTGGTGCATCTTCCAGAGATAAGTTTGGTAGTGAAAAAGAAAAGCAGATACGGCTGGGCGTGGTGGCTTACACCTGTAATCCTAGCTCTCTGGGAGGCCGAGGCGGGCGGATTGTTTGAGCTCAGGAGTTCAAAACCAGCCTGAGCAAGAGCGAGACCCTGTCTCTACTAAAATTAGAAAGAAATTAGTTGGACAACTAAAAATATATAGAAAAAATTAGCCGGGCATGGTGGCGCATGTCTGTAGTCCCAGCTACTTGGGAGGCTGAGGCAGGAGGATCGCTTGAGGCCAGGAGTTTGAGGTTGCTGTGAGCTAGGATGACGCCATGGCACTCTAGCCCGGGCAACATAGTGAGACTCTGTCTCAAAAAAAAGAAAAAAGCAAAACAGATACGACATGTTCTACAACTACTATCTGCAGACACGGAACTAGATTCTATATGACCATTATTTCCTACAAGAGAATAACTTCCAAGGTTTAAAGATGTTTATTCATATCCATATGAAATGCCATAAAAAGATGGTTAGATGTGTTTGTTTTAACCTGAAATTGAGTAAATTCATTTTCTATTTCTGCATTTGTGTACATTTTATTTAATATTACATAAAACACTTATGATTAAAATATATCAAGTTAATAAAAAAACTTCAATATGGATTCAGCTAGAGAACAAGAGGTAACAGAGGAATCCACATATGTTTGGATATTCCAAAAGACAGATACTTCTTCCCAGTATCTATAAGAACATTCATAAGTTTTCTCACTCGTCAGCCTCCCACCACACAAAATCCTCCCCCATGATATCAGAATCTCCAAGTTCAAACCCTCATCTAATCATCTCCCTCCCATAAATTCACCATTGCACAAACTCTCCTTCAGCCTACTCTTAGTCAAATACGGCCTTGGGGAACCAGGGCCCTTGAATCATCCAAGGGCAGGAGGAACATGTGATTCAGGTCAAATGTTGAGCAGCCCTGGATCCCTAATCTGAGCCCACCTTTATCCCAGTTCTCTAGGAGCTACCCAGGATTCGCAGGTCCTGAATTCTAAGGTTCTGAGAGCCCATGATCCCTTAAAGACTCATTATAAATGCCCGAGCCTCATCCCCACCCTCCCCTCTTCCTTTCCTGGAGAGAGGCTTACCATAGGGCCCAGCATGTGAATCCCAGGCGCCAGCATGGGAGCCTTGGTCCCCACCCCTCACCCCAAGGCCTAGAAAGAGATGTTCCTGAGGTCAGGGTATGAAGGGCCCCCTCAAGATGGGAAAGTAGGGGCAATAAAGCAGGGGAGGGGAGGGAATGACAGTAGCAAGGAAGCAGCTGCAGAAAATCAGGACCCCTGAGACTGAGTTAAAAGAGTACTCCCACAAAGCCTCATGGGAAAGTGGCCTCTAAACACAGACCTCCTAAGGTGCTAAAACTGTGGAAAAGAAGGTGGGGCCACTACTCATGGAGGCAGAGGGCAGGAAATCAGTGACAGCAACTTGAACTGACCTTGGAAGGCCCTACCCTCGTTTCCCTGGAAGTTGGGCAAGTAGCAGAGGCAGCAAGTAGCCCCTCTGGTACCCTCCCTCCCTGACCCCCAAGCACTCTTCCCCACTAGCCTACCCTGCAGGCACCAATTCAACAGTAACAGAAAATTTGGGAAACAAAGGGGAAAGTCTGTACTGAAGAACAAGTCTGCACTGAGGGACAGGGAGCAGTCCCTCAGTGGGCACTGAGGGAGGAGTCTGCACTGGGGGACAAAGCTCAAGAAAAAGGAGTGAGTAATTTGGAGGGCTGAACAAAACTGCCAAAAAATGGGCAGAGCCAGAGAACTTCAGGGGTGGGGTTGAGGGATGAGGTCAGCAGGAGACAGGGATTGCCCTGATCTGTTTTACTTCTTGGGCCCTACAGTCATTTGAATCTGAGACCCCTTATCCTTCAGAAATGAGCCATCAGCCCCTACGCCAAAGAGCAGCTATTCTCTTCTCCATACCTCCTTCTCCACAACCCTTTATTCTGAAGATCTTACACCACCTCAAGCCTGTTACTGCAGAGATGGGGCCATTACAGACTTGATTTGAACCCCTTTTCCAGGACACAAAGGAAGGAGTGGTTCCCGACTAGAAGGCACCCAAAGCTATCCACTCTGGCGTGAAAGGAGGTCCCCTCTGCATCTCTTCCTGTGACTGCCTGGACCTGACAGTGGTCTTGATGGGCAGGCCTGTCTGATGTCTCTATAGTGTCTATGTGGATTTTAATAGAAAATAAACTTTTTTTTCCCCATCATGTTTAAAGCAGATGTACAATTGTTAATTTTTACACTTTAGTTTTTCGCTAGGAGAACCAACTTTGAGGGCATGTGGAATGATGGTGACCCACCCCTTCCCTGCTCAGTAACCCCCAAAGAAAACATACAAACACACACACACACCCCTCTGTGGCTCTTAGTTCAGGCCATGGAAGGGGACAGCATTATGGTGGCAGACCAGGCAGTAGTGCCTGAGTTGAATGTGGTGGGGAGAACCTACATCCTAGGTGCTCCTAGTCCTTACCCCAACCAGGCTAACCTCAGGGACTCCCTGGAGATCAACCACTTCTAGTGAGAGGCAGTGGACAAAGGCCCCTAGACCCTCCGCTCCTTTTCTCTCTCCTCCTCCTTCTTCCTTTCTAGCATCAAAACCAAGCCTAAGGTTTTTTTGGGCCACACAAACATCTCTCCCCTCTGTCTGTGTGGCAAATACCATCTTAACAAATAAAGACACTGGGGCCTGAGGGGACAGCCCTCCAAGGTACAGTCATAAGGTGTTGGGTAGAGCCAGCCCTGGGCCAAGAAGGGAGTGAGGCAAACCCTGGGAATGTAAGACAGGTGGCTAAGAGGGCCTTAGAACCACTACTGGAAGACTGACATGAGTGTGGCTAAAAGACTGGGCATGGAAATCAGAGCATGTAGGAGGGGCTGTGTTTAAAAACCCTTAAACTGGGTTTGGGAAGGCTGATGATGGGGCATTGCTAGTAGTCTTATCCCTGTCACTGGAGGGCCAAGGTAGCAAGGTTAGGAGGTTTAAGTCCTGAGTCTGAAGAACTTTTAGAATATCGCTAAGGGGACTTGGATTTGGGAATGGAGAGTTAGGAAGGGGACATAGTTAAGGAATCTGTAAGACTATAGAGCTGGGGACTGAACCCTGAGCAAAGTCTTAAGGTGAAATAGAAGAGGATGCAGCAAAGGCTAGAGAAATGGAAAAAAATAAAACAAGAGTTCATAAAAGCCAATGGAAGGATGCAGTTGCAGAAGAAAGTAGTCAGTCACATGCAAAGAGGCGCCTCTGCTCCTCTGTTCTCAGGAGCTAGCCCTCTGCCATCTTCACACTCACCGGAATGTAAGGGGTCAGAACACTGTCCCCGAGGCCCTCTCAGAACTAGAGCGGGGTGGGCATATGGTGGACGGATTTGACTACCAGTGTCTCTTAAGGGGTCACCTCCAGCCAACACCTTCTTCTCACTCCCTGTGTATAGGCTTCTCCCCTGAGTGCATCCTGGACATGTGATAAGCAGTGATGTCCACCTAAAGCTTGTCCATGCTACCTCACAAACAAGGTTTCTCCTGAATGTGTCTGCTGCTGTGGCTGATGACTGACTTGTTGCTAAAATCACATCCTCACTCCTTGCACACCTAAGGCTTTTCCCTGTGTGTGTCCTCTGGTGTCTGATGAGGGCTGACTTGTGGCTAAAGTCTTGTCCACACTCCCCGCATGCATAAGGCTTCTCCCTTGAGTGGATCCTCTGATGTGTGCTGAGAGTGGACTTGTGGCTAAAGCCTCGCCCACACCCGATGCACATGTAAGGCTTCTCTCCTGTGTGTGTCCTCTGGTGTGTGTTGAGGATTGTCTTGCAGCTAAAGCCCCGCCCACACTCCCCACACACATAAGGCTTCTCCCCTGAGTGTGTTCTCCCATGTGAGTGGAGGGCTGACTTCTGGCTAAATCCTTGCCCACACTCCCCACATACATAAGGCTTCTCCCCTGAATGTGTCTTCTGGTGTGTGGTGAGGAGGGCTGATTTATCACTAAAGCCTTGCCCACACTCTCTGCAAACAAAAGTCTTCTCACCTGAATGTATCCTCTGGTGTGTGATGAGGTGGGATCTCACCCTGAAGCCTCAGCCACAGTTCCTGCACACGTAAGGCTTGTCCCCTGTGTGAATCCTCTGGTGCTTAATGATGTCTGACTTTTCACTAATGCCTCGCCCACACACAGTGCACGTAAATGGCTTCTCCCTCAGGTGCATCCTCTGATGTCTGATGAGGTGTGACATGCGGCTAAAGCCTCACCCACACTGCCTGCACACAAGGCTTCTCCCCTGAGTGTGTACTCTGGTGGTTGTGGAGGGTTGACTTATCTATAAAGCCTCGCCCACACTCCCCACAGACATAAGGCTTTTCCCCTGTGTCCTCTGATGTCTGATGAGATGTGACTTCCTGCTAAAGCCTTGCCCACACTCCCTACACACAGAAGATTTTTCACCTGTGCCTGCCTTGTGTCTGAATAAGTTTGACTTCTGGCTAAAATCTAGTCCACACTCTCCAAACCTGACGGCTCCAAATCCTGAGATTTCTTCTCTCTCTGGAATTTTGTCTATTTCCTCAGAGCTCACACTCTGGGCTGGGCTGAGTTGTACCTCCAATGTTCTGTTGGCTTCCTGGGAGCTTACTGGTGGTCCCTGGGGTGGGCCAGAGAAAACCACTGGAGTCCACCTCTCCTTTGTACCCCAAAACACAGATTCAGTGCCTCCTTCCATTCGTTGATCTTCTGCTTCAGCCCCCCTGTGGTTTGTATTAGAAAGTTGTTGCTGTTGCTGAGCACCTGGGTAGGGATGCCCTGGTTGGAGTTGGTTTCCTGCAAGTAAACCTGGAACAGAGTGATAGAGCAGCTCGTCTTGGCTGAGGAACTGCTGACTGCCAAAGGCCAGAGGGCGGGAGGGCCAAGGATGGACTTCTGGCTCTGATTCTGCTGAAGAGAGAAAGTTTTTAGTGAGAGTAGTCATGGGAAGGGCTGACTGCACTCTTCTTCCTGTCTTATTATAAGACCTAGCTCATTAACCATTCACAATGATTAAAGCCTCTCTCCCCAACACATACTTTACAGGATCTATATTTCCATTCAAATTCTTTTAACTTTTTATTTGGAAATAATGCCAAATGTACAGAAAAGTTGTAAGAATAAGAACAGTACAAGGACCATCTGTGTAGACTTTACCCAGATTACCTACTGTTAACATTTCCATCTTGTACATGCATATGAGTGTGCATCTGTGTTTTGCTCTGAACCACTTGAGAGTAAATTGCATACACCATGGGCCTTTACCCCTAAATACTTCAGTGTGTATCTTCTAAAAAGAGGAATATTCTCTTTCATAACCATGGGATAGTTATCAACTTTGGTAAACTTAATACTTATGTAACACTTTTATCTAGCCACCAAATATTTTCAATTTTTTCATTGATCCGATAATGTCCTTTGTAGTAGCGGTCCCCAACCTTTTTGGCACCAGGGACCGAACTGTCTTCCAGTTTCATGGAAGACAATTTTTCCATGGACCGCGGGGTGGGGATGGGGGTGTACCATGGATGTTGGGTGGTGTGCATAGCTCAGGAGGTGATGCGCAGTCTGTTTCCTAACAGGCCACAGACCGGTACCGGGGGTTGAGGACCGCAGCTTTATAGCATTTTCCCTCCAGTACAGGATCCAGTCTAGGGTCAGGTGTTGTAATTAGTTGTCATGTTTCTTTAGTCTTCTTTAGTCTCTACCTTTTATAAGAGTGGCATTTTTGGCTGACCGCGGTGGCTCACGCCTGTAATCCTAGCACTCTGGGAGGCCGAGGTGGGTGGATCGCTCAAGGTCAGGAGTTCGAGACCAGCCTGAGCAAGAGCGAG